TTTATATACATATATATATATATATAGAGTGTACAGCGTAGTACAGTATCGTTATGTATGTATGCATGTATGTATGTACGTATGTATGTACGTATGTATGTATGTATGTATGTATGTATGTATGTATGTAAGTATACACACTATACTACACGGGCTTTGGGGTTCAGTGTTTAGGAGCTATAGTTTCTATAGGGGCTTTTGGGTTTAGGCTATACTAGAAGCGATAGGGTTCTAGGTTTCTATAGGACAGTATGAGGGGCTTTTCGATGAAATGGTAAACTTTTTTCAGAAGACACGTCTCAAAGACGCAGGCAGGCAAGTGCTGAGAACAGTCAACAACAACGACAACAACAACAACAACAACGACAACGACGACGACGACGACGACTTCAACTACAACTACAACTACAACACCACCACCAACAGCAACACCACCAACAACAATAACACCAATAACACCAATAACACTAACACCACCACCACCGCCACCACCGCCACCACCAACCACAACAACAGCAGCAACAACAACACCAACAGCAACAACAGCAACAACAACAACAACAACAGCAGCATCGACAACAACCACAACAACAACAACAGCAGCAGCAGCAGCAACAGCAACAGCAACAGCAACAACAACAAAGCAACAACAACAACAACAACAACAACAACAACAACAACAACAACAACAACAACAACGACAACAACAACAACAACAACAACAAAGCAACAGCTGCAGAAGCAGCAGCAACAGCAACAGCAACAGCAACAGCAGCAGCAGCAGCAGCAGCAGCAGCGGCGGCAGCAGCATCGGCAGCAGCAGCAGCAGCAATGGAAACAGGCCACATTGAGCACACAAAAAGGCATGACGAGCACGTGTCTGCGACACCCTCGTCGCAACTAAGCGGGCCTCGCTGCGTAGCCTTTCCACCTGCAGAGACAGCATGACGCGGTATCAGAGCCCTCAAATTCTGCGCACTCCGGAAACTACCCAAGCGCGACAGCTAGTGTCAGAGCGACGACCTCCTGATACTCTGCAGCTGTAGTTCAGCGGATGCCCCGAAACTAAGTTGTTCAATCACTCACCGAAGGAACGGCTAGGATCAAATGTCCACCCGGACCATCAGCCAATGTAGGATCCCGATGCAGCCAGATCGCTGTTGTGGGGCACAGGTCGAGAATGGCTTCCAGGAGCGCAGTACACATGTGGCAGTTTAGGGAAAGCCGTCTCGGGTCCAAGGCTCATGAGGTGCTTTTTGCAATTTGTGTCTTGTGCAGAGGTATGTAGAAGTTATACAGGCTCGGCTAGGAGATGCTACAGTAGCCGGAACTCGCCGCACACTCCCATCCGAAATTTCGTCGCAAAGTGCTGCCTCCTGCTGCCGCTCGCGCTCATGCTCCTTTGCCAAAGCTTCGCGCCTTTCAGGGGTTCATCAGGGGCCGCGGAACTGGAACTTGGGATTCAATATGACCGAATCTGCCTGTGGTGCGTTCTGTCATTTTATGTTCCGCTCATGATACAGACTTGCACTGGGGCTCAGGCTCTTCTGCACGATTTGGATGTGTCGCTTCTCGGAACTCATCCTGTAACGAGAGCAGTGGGAAGACTTGGCCTCCAACCTAGTCACTCCAAGTTTCAACGACGGGATGGGAATGAATTAAAACGAAAATCGTGCGGACATATTTTCGTGCAGATAATTACGCGTTGGTCGTTCCCCACCCCACGAAATGTTCCTGGGACTGTCGCGGCTTGAGAACACTGACTTACACTCTTAAAGCCCGGACAATTCTACATGAGCCTACAGCAAGTAAGTCGGCTACGGGGATGTGCCATCAAGATAGCTTCATACGCAGACCTAAACCCAATCTTGTTCCAGTGTTGTACCAATACGAATGACACTGATTTATGTTGCATGTTCAAGTGCTCTGCACTCTTCTAGTCTGGTTGAAGCAAGGCTCCAAGAGCCACTTGTGCACTTCCGCGTTGATCAACGCCACTCCACCTCAGGTTCTTGGACACTGAATTTGAATGAGACTGGAACTCTCGTAGAAGAAATACTGTAGTGCCGGGTCTATGCGAGATTGACTCGCAACGGTCCTCGTCAAATTGCGCTAGCACAACATCCCCTGCGACTGAATTGAGTTGGCAGCTCAAGCCAGTAAGGGTCAGTGCCGCAACCCGCCTCCGCCTCATTGAAACAGCACTACAGAGCATGAAGAAATCCGCTTTGATGATCTTGGCGCTAGTACTGACCTACCTACTTCGCCAGATCAGACAGCTCAGCATGGCTCATGATCTCTCTGGCCCGGGCGTGAGGTGAGGCAGAGACCTTCCTGTCGAGCTGAATGCCTCGTGGAACAGGGTCACGCAGAAGACGGGCCGATGTCTTGCCTATCGAGCCTTTCCTGTGTCGGGTCCCAGCCTTTCGAAACAGAGCCAAGGCCCGAGCCCGTCCGGATTGAACCGATTGCAGGATCGAGAACGGAGGGCCTTAGCAATCGGGTGGGTCTCTGGATCTCTGCTTTCACTGACTTTTGTAAGCGTAGCTGTTGGCACGAACGAAGGCTGCGGCGAATGCCAATCCGTCTCAGCAGCATCACCTGTCGAAATACTTTCGTCATTCTGAAACCGACAGCCATCCTGGAACAGAGAAGTCAGCCTGCATAATTGATATACAGACTCAGGCTGCCGCCACAGCGGGCGCGAGCAAGAGTGAACCCCCCCATCCCCCACACTCCCTGGAAGCTGATCGGCAGCAGACCAAGTATGTCTGGTAAGAGTGCGTTAAAGATCAGCGCTCGGACAAGGCAGATGCATAGCGGACTCAACTTTTCCCGGCATGAAGTGAGGAGAGAGAGAAGAGAGAGACGCGGACAGCGGCTGCCACATGTTGTCATTCAAAAATGCCAGGACAGCAGCAGCCGGCCGCGGGCTCCTCATAGCACGGTATACATCTTTGGCCCAGCAAAGGCCAAGCAGTCTAAGGCGAAGTCCTACGAGCACCCCGGCGTCCTCGCAGCCACACATGCACCAACAACTGCAGCAGCCGCAGATCCCTGCCACAGCCAAGCGAGACACAGGTTTTTTGTTGGCATCGATTCCGCATGCGAAGGCAGAGCTCCTGCCTGCGCTGGCGTGTGCTTTAAGCGCCACACGACTTCCAGTCCGTGAGGCCACTGCCTCGAGGACTTCTGGAGCTGCTTTGTATGTGACGGTATGTCTTGAATTCTTGTTTGATGCTTGTCTCTCACCGTGGTGGCCGTGTTCCTTTGGCAAGACTGTTTGCCACTTCAGGTTTAGCTGCACTTGCAGATGCATCCTGCGCACAGATGAAATGAATAACCGTGCACGTTGCCATGTCCGCCTTGGTCACATGCAATGCCAGATCTTACGTGCATCGTGGGGGCATGCACCGGGCTGAAGCCATAGCCGTCGCGACAGCTGTCTCGTCCTCGGCTAACGTAACAGAGGTTGAACCGATCAATGAACATAACGAAGAAAGCCGGGCATTCTCGAAACAAGAGCAAACCCAATAAATCCCGTCAGCTGTCAGCTCCAGTCCAACCGCAAACAAATCATGACTCTTACTTGTAGCCGTACTGTCAATCCTGAGCCCGCTGCAGAGGCTGCAGGAGACGCGGTCATCCTGCGACCAGGGCCCCATCACCGTCTAAGTCGCTGCAGGGTCTTCCTGCACCATGTCAGTTGACATCCTGTCTGGAAAAATCTCGCGCTAGCGAGGTTGCCCCGCGAAAACTTCAGATGTTTTGCAGCTTGGCCGAGTCTCACTTGACGGGATCACAATGCCACGTGCCTGGGTTCTAGGTTTGTTGGCATCGAAGGATTCACTTGTTGGCTGGTTGTAGGTACTCGGGTCGATATGACATCCATAGTCCAAAATCAGACAGAGTTTTCTGAACCGGGCCTGCCAAGAAGGTTGGCTGCATGCAGCCAGCGACGAGACAAGCTTGGCTTGTCAGACAATGAGCAAAGCATTGACATGTAGCCTCAGTGTGGACAGTCCGACCGCCTAAAGTATGTCTCCTCCTGCCTTTTGAACACCCCTAAAACCGATGTCCCATTGCGAGCCCCGGACTGACATCATCAGGCTGAAACCTGCGTCAGACCGGCATGCGTGCGCATTGGCGTGTCGCGCATGCCCATCACGCCCATCGCGCCCAATTTCAGGAAGCAGATGGGCCGCGGACCGCTGAGAAAAAAAGCTGGCGAAGAGGCTCAGCGTAAGCGTCCACGCACCGCTTGGCTCACACACCTGTGCAAGAGACGCCTGTTACCCAGCAGAAAAGCCTAGATAATCAGCAACCCGGACAGCATGCACTGCAGCGTTGTAAGCCCAGCACGCCAAGCACTGCATTTAAGCTGAAGTGATCGAGCTCAACAGAAGCGGATTCCAGTCTTCCTTCACGTCGTCGGCATGCATGCCACTGCACGCTTCTAAACTATGGGCTATACAGGCACCATGAAGTCGCCCCCTCGAGCTATGCAGCCGGAGAGCGCAAGAACACCAAGACAGAGCGCCAAGTTGATCCCTGCAATCAACGGAGATTCACTCAGCGAATATCACATCATCATGCCATTTGCACTGGACGGCTGCGCATCTGCGACCTGCAGAGATGCACTGGCCAAGGACTGGATGGCAACACAGGCACCTTGGTAGGCAAGCAGCGGGTTTGAAACCTCCTCACGCAATCTGGACAAGTACCATGACGACGGACAGCTGCTCGATGCTCTGTTCGGGATGGGCTTGCGGCAACAACGCAAACTAGCAGGACTTGGGGGCGTCACTGGAATCAGAAAGTACAGTAGTTGTCTATCTGCTTGTGGGCCAGGGCATGCCAGGGCCCAGTACTCAAGCGAGGCAACAGTAGAAAAAGCAACCAGCCGTCACTACCCTGAAACTACATCCTGCCATGCAGGCGTAGACCCACCTCACCGGCTTTTTGCTCGCGCCATTGCTGGCAGCACCATTGGCATGTGCGGCGGCTGTGGAAGGCCGTTCTTCGACCGCTTTGCGTCCACAGGGGCAGAGGCAACAGATGCACCCGCGGCAGACCGCCCAGAAGCACCGACAGGGCCACACCAACAAGCACTTGAAAGCAGTTCTCAGCACAAAGCCAATCATTCCGCAAAGCACGTGGACGAACAGCGCCAGCCATGCTCCGACCAGGAGGTGGTCGCGCAAGAAGCTGTCAGGCTGGTCCGGAAGCAATTCCTGATCTTGCTCGGGCATCTTGGACCTGGCAGTCTCGAGCAGTGCCTGCAAGCACCGGCGGCACATCTCAGAGAATTCCAGAGCTTCCTGGAAGCGCTTCGATGCCACGTCAGCGAGCATGCCCATAGATTCGCTCTTGGCCACCTCCTTCTTCAGCCGCTCCTCGAGCTCGCCGATCTTGGTAGAGGCCTTCGCCTTCAGGCGCCCTCGAATTTTGCGCATTATCCTTGCCGCCTGGGCAGCCGCGGCTCGGCCCTTCTCGGGATCTGCCCCGAGGCCCTCGTTGAGTAGAACCAGAAAGCCGTCGAGGAGAAGCTGGAAGGATTGTTGTAAAGCTGCTCTCAACGCCTGGGCTCGTTTTTTCGGCAAAACGGACATGTTAGAAACCTCGACAGCTCGATTGCCAAGAGTGCTGCCACGAGGCGGTCACAAGAAGTCCTGCATTGCAAGCATCCCCGTCGCAGCGGATCTGACCAGAATAGAAAAGCAATAGTTCTCGCTCTTCTTCATTGACAGGGTGATGCTTTGCCCCCGTGTTGCCGTTCTCGTCTTGCACCAGCGGCTCGGACGGGCAGGAAGCCGATGATGCCTCGCAGGCTTTGTCTGAAAATCTGCTGCGCGGTGGCCAGACAGCACACGAACACGGTCCGAAGGGACGTGAGCAAAAGCTATCCCAAGTTGCGCCTGGCGATCCCCACAGCGCGGGATGTGTGGGACGAGGGAGGATGCGCGGGACGCAGGGGACTCTTGCTGCGAAAGAATCCACAAACCCCTGCTTGACTCTGCTTCAAAGTTAAACTCAAGCACAGCTTGGGATGTGTTGGGGTGGCCCCGCTCCCATCAAGAGCTCCGTCACGCCTTGCTAGCTGCGAGTTCTTCCTCGAGGACTGCGATGCGAGCCTTGGCCGCTTCCAGCGCCTCTCGCCTTTGCGGCCAGGCGTTGAGAACTTGGCCCAACCCATTTGCAGCTTACATCCACGAAGTAGCGTGAAGCCCACGAGAAGCGTGACCGAATAAACTTCGCGACGAGTTTGCCAGCTGACTACATGCCGACTGCCTCCTACTTAGCTTTTCGAGCCTAAGTCCCGATTCCCCATAACACTGCAAATGACGAAAAAGCCTCTGCGATGCAGGCAGCACGAGTAATGTAGCAAAGAGGTATGCTTGCGAGCAGCAATCGCTCCCCCTGCTCTGCACTCGCAGGTGAGATCACCTTGGCAAAGTGCAGGTACCAGAAAAGTAAGCCAGCTATAGAGCTTTGCCCATGCTCCGGCCTTTGGGACAGCCATTCGATTGCAGCTGTCTTTGCAAGTGTCCATCATGAAATCCGGAGTCTGCTGGCATGCTCCGCCTGGCGGCAAGAAGTGGTGTGTCCAGGCATCAGCACTGTCTGCAGCGAAAAGCAACACCACCACCAGCAGTCAAACCAATCATGAGGGTAGCGATGCCCCGCTGCAAACTCTTATCTTTTTGGGCTGCTCATCATCCATGTTGCAAGACGAGCTTCACAGGCGTCACAAAAACACTCGCGTCCAACTGCATCCATGGCGCCCTGTGCCCAGGTGCTGCAAAGATCGGTGGAACCAGCTTTGACCAATTCTTGACAAGCGCCGGCACACTCCTCACATTGAACTGCTAACCGCCGTAAGCAGGTTCGAGCCCTGAGCGATGCGTCAGCGTCACCGCCCATGGCAGCAATGACAGCAACAACAATCGCGGTGGCCATGTTTTGGTGTATATACTCGTCGTCGTGGTAGTACTTACTTAGTAGTAGTAACTAGTAGTAGTTGTCGTCGTCGTCGTAGTAGTAGTAGTAGTAATAGTAGCAGCAGCAGCTGCAGTACTAGTACCAGTACTAGCACTAGTACTGGTACTAGTACCAGTACCAGTGCCAGTACCAGTGGGAGTAGTAGTAGTAGTAGTAGTAGTAGTAGTAGTAGTAGTGGCAGTAGTGGCAGTAGTAGCAGTAGTGGCAGCAGTCGCAGTAGCAGCAAGTAGCAGTAGCAGTCGCAGTAGCAGCAAGTAGCAGCAGCAGTCGCAGTAGCAGTAGCAGTCGCAGTCGCAGTCGCAGTCGTAGTCGCAGTAGCAGTAGCAGTCGCAGTAGCAGTAGCAGTCGCAGTCGCAATCGCAGTAGCAGTAGAAGTAGCAGTAGCAGTAGCAGTAGCAGTAGTAGTAGTAGTAGTAGTAGTAGTCGCAGTCGTAGTCGCAGTAGCAGTAGCAGTAGCAGTCGCAGTAGCAGTCGCAGTCGCAGTCGCAATCGCAGCAGCAGTAGAAGTAGCAGTAGCAGTAGCAGTAGCAGTAGCAGTAGTAGTAGTAGTAGTAGTAGTAGTAGTAGTAGTACGGTCTGTTGTTGTGGTTGCGGTTGCGGTTGCAGTTGTTGTTGCTGCGTGGTGGTGGTGATGACAGCAGCAGCAATAGCTCAATCGGTAAAGATCGTATAGGAGCATAAGGAAGAAAACAGTAAAAGGTCCAGGTTGCCAGATTCTGACCACTTCGAATTAGAGGCCTTCGTTTGTGCCTGTTGGTCTTGCCATGGTCATTGCTTTGGCTGTTGCAGCTGGCATTGCTGCGGTTGCTTCTGGCTGCTACTGCCAGTCTTCCTGCTCTTACTAGACTCACTAGACGTACTACAAAACCAACCATGTCTTTGTCAACTGTGACGCTCGCACTTGGAACTGACTATGGCACAAACATTTTGAAATGATTTGCTATCTGTGCTACTGCCATATGAAACTATGCTTCCCACTCACATGCACGAACACACACACACACACACACACACTCGAATTGCACCGGCTCCTTAAGCATGAAAGTCGGATTCTTCTGGCATTCGCCGGCACCGGCCCACTGGGCACAAACTGACGGGCCGCTTGTCCTTGGCCGCTTCAGCAAAAGACAGGCTGCACAATTCCTCATGGACTCAGATGGCATTGAGAAGGCAGGGTTGTAGTGATGCCAAGTGGCAGCATGTCGAAGGACACTGCCTCTTGCTGAAGTTGCTACGATGAGTGCACGGCAAGTCACTGAGACGTGGTGCCTGTCGATGAGCAGCTCGCTGGACAAGCCTGTGCAAACTCTCACACACAGACCCATCTGTGCAATGCAAGCTTTGGTTGCAGACATATCTAGACTTCACGGGCGCGCTCATATGACCGCATCGGTGCCTTAAGCATGTAATCAGCATTACGAGCGCACTCGCCGGCTGCAGCCCATCGTGGGCAGAATTCGCTTTGGTCGACCGCCTCGCTGGATTCAAACAGCAGTGCAGTGCTTTTCCCCCCAGCTTCGGAAGGCTCGAGTCGACCGCCGCTACGAGTAGCTGAGAGAGAATCACAACTACCATCATCCCTGCCTCCACCCAGTTGTTCCAGAGGACGATCGCCGCGAGGCAGACATGATGATTCTTCGCGGACTTCGACACCATGGCGCTGGCGCTCTGACTGTCTCTATAGTTGCTTTACTGTGCTTGGCACTGGAAGCGTGATCCAGCGAGGGTTGGCTCTGTTCTGCTCGCAGGTTCGAAAGGGTCCTTGTGCTTGATTGGTTCTGATTCCAGCCGCCATGTGTATTACTGCCGCCGCCATTTCACCTGTGCATGCTTACCGGCGACTCTCATGTTCAGGCCTTTAGTGTCTTTTTCCTCAGGAATTCGATCGTGAACCATGCGGGCATCCACAGGCTGCTCCAAGCTTAAGCCGGTGATACCAATCGTGCAACTCGCCATGCACCAATGCCGCTGTGGCACTCACTTCATTCAGAGGAATGTCGTTCAGGCGCATGTGCTCCAGAATGCCGACACCCTTCCGCCACTGCTTGGCCTACAGTACGAGCGAGATCAGTGCTGGACGTGTATACAACGGCAGTTTTCGGCACCCAAAACGCAGGAAGCGAAAGGCGCCTGGCAGCAGTCTACTGCCAAGCTAAAGCTCACTCCTCAGCTGAAACATGAATAGAAATGCTGACGCTACACGTCTTGTTGCGATTCTCCTTGTTGCCAGGGTGACAGATGAAATTCATCTCTTGTTACGCCATCAACGTGACCAGGCATCTCTGCGGCCAGGTTTCGGCTTGTCTGTAGTGTACAAAGCCTCATGTCATGCAGTACGTTGAAGACCTGGCATCAATATCAAGACATGCAATTCTTTTCCCACCCGCCCAGCCGACCAAGTCGCACCGCAAGGAATCCGTCCGAACTGAAGGAAAACAGAGGGGGCAAGTCCCAGGGAGAACCATACTCCTTCGTATTCAAGAACGACCAACAACAAGTAAGTAACAACCCGATACAGGCAGGAGGAGAATAGTCTCGCCGAACTCTAAGCCCCGAAGCATACTTACAGTAGATATACTTGTGGCCTCCAGCCATTGCCGACTCTTGGACAGAGCACCAAGTGCAGAGTTGCAAACCACCGTTCGAGAACCTCCTACGCACGACGAAAACGCGCAAGCGTTTGCAAAGAGCCAGGAAGCCACCTAAGGGCGCACTTCCCCTGTGCAGAGTCCTGCTCCGACACGAACTTCTCGAGCACTCAGACACGTACCTCGGACAGAACTGCTGTTGAACCTCGCTGCTTCAACAGTGAGGCTTTATGGGCCCTCATGGTCCTATCATAGCACTGCGGACGGGAGAAAGCACCGATAGCGACTTGTGACTTGTACATCTCGCCATGCCTGCAGCCTTATCGATAACCTGTGTGGAAATGCCTGCGCGGCCTGCTAGGCGCATTGACTTGGCGCCACGTTGCCTACCATTTGTGCCGCTGCACGCCAAAGGAAGGCTGTGTTGTAGGAGCTGGTGGTTGTTGAATATGTCACCACCTGGCACCCATCACAGCACCCTCTCCAGAAGAGTTCTGAATCACACTCATGGGCTGATTCTCACTTGCTCAAGCTCACAGCTGTCTGTGAGGTTTGTTCCTCGAGCGATACAGCAGGATGCCCACCAATCAATATGCTCTAGCCGCTAGCCTCTGCCACGGGTTTTGAACAACGGCAGCACCATAGCAGAATACTCGGCAGTGCACGTTTGGCTGTACTCCGATGAGCTGCATGTCGCGAAAGCCGTGTATCCTGACTTTGAGACTCGAAGGCAGCAGCCTGCATGGCCACTCCTGCCCCTTACAGTCCCATGTAACTCACACACAAAATCGGTCGTTTCATGCAGGCATGGGGCGCCCTCGCCCAAGCACCAGACTGCTCGCAGGAGGCCATCAGCGCACTGCAGGCCACCACATTCGCTTGCACCTCCGTTCACAAGAAGGCAGCAACAAATCACAAAGACGAAAGCAACACGTCAAATCGTCGAGTCTAGTTGCCTGCTTGACCTGCAGGCTGGCCAGAAGCCACCAGGCTCTGGGCCACGGTACCCCACCTGAGCTGCGAACTTGAAATGCCTTGAATCATCCAGCTACTCCTCAGAGTCGCAGCGCATTACAACTGAGTGCAAGGCATGCAGCAGCTGCACCCACAGCTACTATGTCACACTCCTTCAACGACTTCACAACCAATGTGGTGCGAGTTCCAAAGGCTCATCTACTTGCACGCTTCATCTCTCTGAATACTGGTGCGGGTCCAAACACACCAAGGAATGTCTGCTGATTAATGAGAAAGCCATTGGCCACCTCCAGGTGCAGGTGTGCTGATGCATCTGATGCGGCATCTTTGCTACTACCTGACATACCATGCACAAACTCTCCCTGGCTTTCGCCTTTCCGAAGAACAGGCGGTGATAGTTGCACTGAAAGATGTCTTGTCTGCCAGCTGCCTGGCAGAACATGCACTGTACCACCGGGGCTTTGAGAGGAATGCTTCTGTTTGTCAGCCTGCGACACAGGAGGAACAATGTGCTGAGCGCTCGCGGCCATGAATTTCTAGTAGCCAAGGCCTTCTCAGCACGGTCTGAGATCGCCCACGCAACTCTGATGGAAGGCCAACTGCCATCCAAGAGTCGTTGAGAGCCGCGTTGTAGTGGAAAATATTCACCTCACCTTGGGAGCAGGAGAAACTATGCTTCACAAATCGGCAAGCCAGATCGTGTGGTGCACGGCAAAAGCACCCAGTGATACTGGTTGGAAAAGCATAGGCACGCCTAGTTCTTCAGGACCGACAAGGCCGCCAGAAACAAAGGCTGGGAAATTCCCGAGGGCCAACGACCTTCTTGACATTTCTACGCTCAAAAACGCGCAGATCTTGGGCCCGAAGAAACCTTGCCATTCCCGGCAGTTCAAGCAGGAGCGTCTCTGGCAATTATCGGGACATCTTGTATACTTTTTGGACCACCATCAAGTGGAAGCCATGTCACCTTTCACTTTGGCAGCACTACTGCATCCTATCCAGGCGAGAAAGTTTGCGTATGAAGTCGAGGTACCGCGAACATGTTGCAGCTGCGCAAGCCTTATTGGACGACGTGACAGTGACTCTTGCACATGCTCAAGAAGAGCTGCTCTGCATGTGACAGTGCTAGTCTCCTTTTCTAGCCCAGGGGCAGACGAAGAACAAGTGAAGTCTGCTGGGCTCGGCCTAAGTCGGTGATCGTCTTGGTAGTCAGTCTCGGCTCCTTAGCATCGCATGGCCTTCTCAGGACAAGTCTGTTCAAGATGATTCTACACAGATGAGGAAACCTGAATCGAAGACTGATCGTTGAGCTTCGGACCTGTGCCAGCCTGCTAAGACACGAGGCCATCAGCAGCTAGATCCACATCGTCTTAATTGCAATAACCACTGACTACTCAAGGGGTTCCAACTTTCACTGTCGACGTCGCTTGGCCCCAAGGCAGCACCTCGCGAGTTGTTCTGGGTCGATGTCTTTGGAGTTGCAGAGAGAGCACGGCGCAGCCGCCACCATCACCGGCACGTCAGCTTCAGCATGCTTCGTTCACAAATGGCAAAGCTATGGAAGCAAAGTTCTCAAGCGGACGCTGGCACGTTGAACAGTGGCACTGAAGATCGCACAAAGACGGGGGATCAGCTGAACAGAACAGCTTCGTATGTTGAAGTGATGCTTTGCGGCTGTCGAGCAGATTAAACATGTATCGGGCCACAACAACTTGATGCGCAGACAGAAGCATCTCGCGCAATTATTCCGTCGAGCCACTGGGACAATCCTTGAAGTGTTGCACACACAGTGCACATTTCGAATTCGGGCCCTTCCCTTTGAGATTGGCCATGGGCCAAGCATGGAATCTGCAAGCACTTTCTCCGTGAGCAAGATTTTTTCGTATGACCGCCCAAGAGGCCTCTGGGCTTTGGATGCATCGACGTTCTGCCAGCCTATGGGTCGCAAATATGCCACAATGACATCATAATTGAAGGCTCTGTGGGCAATACAGTGGATATCAATGGATCATCGCAGATACCTCTCGCCATACATTTTTGCGAACCTACATCATGGACGTGGCCAGCACAAGGGCTTGGGCGTCATGGGGAAGGTTTCGTTTGGTAAGGAATACATACCGAGACAGCACCCTGTCCTACAGCCCTAAAGTTAACCTAGTGTCGTCCAGGTATGTATGAAGACGATTTCGCCAATACTGGGCCTGCAACGGTTCTTCCTGGTCTAACCTGGGCTAGTAGTGCGATCTTGACCTCATAGCCTCAGAGCGTGAATTCGCTGGTCCTGGCTGGCGCACACAGCCTAACCTCCCACCCACTGCACGCAGGATAGGTGAAGCTGGCCATAGAGTCCATGATAACTACCAGGTGTCTTGCGAATTAGGTGCATCAGCTGCCTGGGAGCCTCCAACCTCAAAGACTCAAAGGCTTTCTTGCCGGTCTCGGTGGTCTGCGCAAGCACCCGGCTGGACGGCTTCAGCGGCCAGCGCCGGCCTCAATTCAGTGCCTCCAGCAACAGGTCCGCTGCATCAGCCACAGGCGTCGTTTTGTGGTGCTGGGACATGAGCAGGACGTGGTCCTGAGAAGACTCGCGCAGCAAATCGATTGAACATGAGCAGCTTTTTTTGAGCAGGGACTGCAATGCACTAACATGAGCAGCTACAAGGTTCGTTCTCATGCGGGCCGCCGCGGGCCTAGCCTGTTTTGGGGAAAAGCAAGCGAAAGCGTTCGCGTGTGTGACCTTGAGGTTGCCTGCTTTTCTGACTGGGCACTGAGATGCGCCGGAACACCCTGCGCAAGTCCTTAGCGAGCTGCGGACAAAGGTGTCGAGGCGCTACCAAAGGGCGACAAGGCTTCCAGTACAAGAGTTACAGGACTCACCTTCATCTTGACAGATTTGTGCAGATGTAGTGTGCGAATCTGCCTGCGAGGTTAGTGCATGCTGATGCGTTGCTCTTTGAGTCGCGATACTCGCTTGGCATTGACCAGTCGCCCAATCAAGTCGAAGCCCTGAAACCTGAGCACATCATGATACTTGCTGGCTTCAGAGGTGCGCAGTGAAGCCTGCAAAAGTCGGTTTCAACTTGGCCTAGTAGGACGTGACGTGAAGTAGACAGAACCACTGCTCTAGAAATATGTTGCGCAGTAGCAAGGATGCATCCACGGTGACCTGAAGTCGCGATAGACGTCGACGGGAACTTCGACACTGTGCGACTGATCAAGCTCGGGAGTGTCGGCAGATTCCAAATGTGCTTCTCGAGGCGACGTGCCGGTAAGTTCAGCCAGGCTGCTGAACCATGACCTGTCACAAGAGGCGGTGCATTCTTCTAGCTCGGCATGGCCGCAGCGAAGTTCGAGTTTGATTTGTGTGGCTTTGCCAGTGCAAGGCTGAATGAATACAGTTGTTTCAACCGCGAAGCTACAGTACAGCACGCATCAGTATGCTATCGTCCACTACCTGGCCGGTAGGCAACAGCATCAGTCAATAGCACGCCTCAGAAGTCTAATTTTGCAGAGCTGCGCTCCTGGAGTACACCTCCACAACAGTCCTCAACTGGTCCCACTCCTGCCCGGGCCAAATGCGGCCACTCTGCACGGTTGCAGGCCATACGGGCTTCAACTGTGGTAGCTGGTAGCAAAACATTAAACACGACGTTCAAGCGGTCTGCTGAAACCTTGCCAATTGCAAGCTTGCTGGCATTGTGCTCATCGGGGTCCTCGTTCACGAAGACCTCTTCAGCCAGCTCTGCTGCGACGTGGCCTTTGTCACATGGCGAATGGCAGGCAATGATGAAGAGCTGAAGCTGCGCACCCTGTCCCTTCGTTCAGCTCACTGAAGGAACTTCACACACACGAAACATGAATGAGACTATCGTCGTCACCCGCTTCTTCGAACACCCAAAGAGACGATGCCAAGGCTCTGAAAGCCGACAGGTTTCTCAAAGCAGCCAATATCTGCTCCTTGTCTTGACAAAGCAGCGCTAGCATGGCTGATGCGGCACTGGACGTTGTACTTTGGCAGGGGATGTACTAGACCCGAAGTTGCACAATGCTCGCAAAGGGTCGGCGACGGCCATGCTGTCAGAGTTGTCTTCATCGCCGGTCTGGACAAGCGCTTTCATTCAACAAGAGACCCGAGCGCCGCTTCAGCACCTCCACGCTTCAACGACAGCTCGCCTCGAAATGGGTATTTCGTAGATCGGCTTCTGATCCTGCGATGATGTGCAACTGTGAAGGGAAAGGTTGGCACTTGCCGCACTTGCCAAAGTGCTGCGTCCTATGCTGCTGCGTCTCGAACCTCTCCTGCAAAGTCAGCTGTAGTGAGGGCATCTTGGTCAACGGAAGTGCGATGAGCCCCTGGACTTCGCACCGTAAAGACCGATTCTCTGAGGCCACGGGTGGCAATCCACTGCAGCTGTGAGAAGATCTGGCCTGTTGCCGTGGCCAGCCGAGCCAACACTGGCAACAGATGCCCGCTTGGCCGGACCATCGCCACCATGACCTTGCAAGACTATACAGCTGCCACGTGACCTCATCCTCCAAAGCATTCGGCCCGAGCCTGTCTGGGACCTGCGGCGTAACTGCGACAATCTCCGCTTGCGTTCCGCGAGTTCAGCCTCTGCGCCTGCCAAGAGAAGTCAGCGATTCCAACCAAAACTGGACATGCTCTCCTACACTGGCAACACTGGCAGCCTGCCATACGCTCATGATACAACTACACGAAACTATGCCTGGAGGGTTCGTGTATTGGTGTTCAATACAGTAGTCTCCACGCAGCCACAGCAGAAGGTGCTACCAATATTGGCTTCATATAACTGCTCCCTCCGATGAACAGTGATAAAAACCGTTTTACATGGGAAGCCTTCCGTATACCATAAGCAACATGCAGGTCCTGGATCATACTCCACATCCAGCCCGTCCAAGGATTGAAGGCTGGCTCTGTTCGCAGCAACTGGGCAGCAGCACATCTTATAGGTTATTCGCCGTCGTCATATAGGATGCACTGTTTGCAAGCAACATATTGTGAGTAATTCCGTATATAGTTTAGACCATAATCTATATTCTGCATTTATGGTATTGAAGATTAGATGTTCAGTTTTATCTAGTATATGATATAAAACTATACAGTCTATTACAGCATCTGTCGGATGTATATATATATATATACCGATCTATATATATATACACACACATAGAGTAACCATTTCTTGTAAGAATATTATATACCTCTATATATATATATATATATGCACATTTAATTATATGATTATGTTATACAGTATGGTCTACTATGTATTATGTACGATCAAACACGCTGTATTCTACATTGTATGCAGCTGTTGCCCATTGTCTACATCATGCAGCCCTGTTGCAGAGCCGACATGCTCCCACTCCAAGGCACCGACCGGTCGCTCTGCCCATGGCTGCTGCCTTCAAACGAAAGTACTGGCTTGCCCAGGGCCGCAGGGCATGGCTTCAAGCTGATCAGCCCCCTGCAACCTGCGGCCGAAGAGAAGGAATGGATCACAAGAACTTGCGCCTCATCGGGAAGGCAGTGGTGCCAAAGAGTAGTCAGCAGCAACCTGCTCAAAGTCCAACATCTTCCGTGCCCGGGAAAGACACAGGTCCGTTTCCTATCGAGCAAGATTTGGCAAAGTGTGGAAGTGACCTTGCTGCATTGTTTTCCTGGTGTGGTGGGCCCTTTGGGGAAATTACGACCTCAGGCTCGCATTGTTCGGCAAACAAAAGCACATTGCCCCAGTAGCTTGCCGCAACACATGAGCCTTTAAATGTCGCCCGCCCTAGTAACAGTCACCGTCACCACAAACAGAAGCACAACAAAAAGCACCAGTGCTGCTTCTGGTGCTAAACTTTGTGCTCAGGATTCAGCTTTTTCTGGTGTTACACTTGGTGCTTATTTTTAGAGTAGTTACAAATTCAAGCCCAATAATTCGCCTCATGAACTCAGACTTGCAGTCTTGACGTTCGGCAAATTCTGTGCTCGTGGTTGTTTTTTTTTTGTGCTACATTTTGTGCTCACAATTTGTTTTTTTTCTGGTGCTAAAGGTTGCTATAGATTTAATCCACTGGGCCTTCAAATCCTGGTGCTCGTTCTGCCCGTGCGACATAAGGAACCTTTTTTTAACTGTTAGGGGGGGAGCAGCATGCTAACATGAGCCTGTAAACTGCAATTTGGACATACTATAGTCTATAGTAGTGCCACCACTTGTACTCCACCGACAACTTGGCGCATAGCACGATCATCGCGAACGCAGAAGGCCAAATCCAGGCAACTCCGGAAAATGACCATCAATGGCCAATGTCCAGTGGGCGAACGGCCAACGTCCCGCTGCTCCGACGGATACAAGGGCCCCGACACTAGAGCATACGGCACCCTTCCGCAACCCTACGACCGAAAATTGATCAAGCCTGCAGATCCTGCAACAAAGAAGCGCCTGTGCTGTGATCAGGAATTGTCTTAGATCGCACTAGTTCTCGATAATCAAGAGGCAA